ATACTTGAAAATGTTCATGACAAAGTAGAATTAAAAGATACTTATTTCAATACTAACTTTAACATTTTGAAATGCTTATACAGTTTTCTCATAAGGCATGTTTTCCATAAACTTTTTGAAGACTACATTGATTTCAAGTTATTTTACACTAAAATAAACTTCTTAAAAAAATTATTTACTTGACTGTAAGAGTTTCACGGAAAGTAGGAAAGAAAGAGAGAAAAAGAATCTTTCTTTCTGTTGTTTCACCCGCCAAGTGGCCTGACACAGCCAGGACTGAGCCAGGCTGACTCCAGGAACTTCAGCTAGGTCTCTGATACGGCTTCTGGGGACCCAAGCATTTGGGCCACCTGGCTCTGCTTTCCTCAGGTATAGTAGTAGGGAGCCAAAACGGGAGTGCAACAGCCAGGATTCAGACTTCCACAAAGAATGCTGGCACCACAGGCAGCAGTTCTTACCTGCTGTGCCACAATGCTCATCCCATATATTTATTTTTTGCTTCCACTCTCCAGGAACTTATGAAGTGCCCTTGGATTTCTTAGAACAATAGTCACAGTCCTGAGTGAAGGATGTAGTTACAATTAATCAATGAAAAAGACTGAATTAATAACTAAAAGGGGGTGGCACCCTGGAATCTGCTCCTGCAGACCCAGCTCTGCACAGCAGAGCAGCAAACACAATCTTCAGCTGCAGAATGTATCTAAATATAGGCACGGCATGTTTTTCGTGTTTATGTGGTGACCAAGAGAAACTTCTGTCGGGCAACGGCACTGTATTTTTGCCACCATTGCCACATGGGAGGTGAGATGCCTGCTGTCGCGACACCAGGGCTGTGGACTGATTAGCATGCAAGGTCCCCTGACTCCCTTGTTTGCAAAAGAAATCCAAGAACTAAACCATGATGCAAGAATAATGAGCACCACAGCCGATTTTGGAAAGCCCATTACAATCACAAATCAGTAACGTCTGCAGCAAAAATCACTGGGGACAAGCTGGACTGGTTTCTTTTTGGAGCCAACAATGCATTCTGTTGCTTTCTGATTCTGTGTGTGTGTGTAATGCGGCTTCCTAAAGCTGATTTAATTCTTTTTCGGATTATTTTCAAGTGTATTTATGTGGCATTTCATATCTACATTAACAGGAAGAGCAGAAGAAAGCCTTCTGGGCACAACATTATCTACTTGCACATCTTCACGTGCAGGCTCTGTTGGATTTTCCCTGTGGGCTTGAGCAGAGCACCCTGGTAAGCTGGGTCCTTACACCTTCATTGCTGGAGATCTTTTCTCTCCAAAGCCTTTCACAGCCACCAGCCCAGATGTCAAGAGAAGCAGCTCAATAGCTTAGGGATCCCTGTGAAAGCCCAAGTGGAAATTCTTTGGGGCATAGAAAAGGGAGAGCACTCCAGACTTCAAACTCCAGGAGTCTTATTCCTGCCCTTAGGAGAAGTTCTTTCAGCAAGTGAGGCCACCCAGGGCTGGGGTCTGTTGGGGGCAAAGTGTAAATAGAAGGAACCAGAAAAAGAGGGCACACCATGTTTGAGGGCATTGCCAAAAAAGAAGAGGTGAGACCAGTCCTACCACCAGAGCAAAAGGCTGGGAAGAGAAGATAAGATTAAAAGTTCAAGAGTCCCTCGGAGCCACGGGCATGAAGCAGGAGGGGCAGGAATGAACCCATGTGGTGCCCCAAAATGCAATGCTGCTCTTTGATGAGGCCAACTGCTTATAAAGTCCCGTGTCCAGTAAACAGCAGAGCATGGTCCAGACCAGACTGTGACAGCTGCTATCACTCAGCATTTGCCATCTTTGGCTTAAACTTTTGCTCCTATAAGCTATGACTTCAATGAGCAGCCTATCTAGGGCCTGCCATGGCATAAGCTTTCTATCCACTCTCACTGAATTTGTCAGAACCAATGACATCTTTGACATTGCCACCCCAGGAAGACATGCTACTACAAATGATCACCATGTCTGATGTGTCATTGGCTGTGAGGTGAATGGAATCAGTAAGTGTGGGATCTGAGAGGTGGGACCATTCCTCCAGGGAACCAACCAAGGGAGTCCCCACTCCAACATGAGCAATGGGGGTTTCCATGATGACAAAGTGACATGTGACAACAGAGAAGAGATGATTGGGAGATAGTGAGGCAGCTGCAGGCCTTTTTCAGAGATGCTTCAAGGAGATTCACATCAAGGAAATCTAGATAGGAGTCTTCCCAATGTTTCCAGACCTTGTGCCCAGAAAGCATTGAGCCCCAAGACCCTCAGCCTCATCCAGGCACGCGGTACAGGCAAGCTTCAGCTTTGGGGAGTTCAGATAAGGACATGTGTCTCTGGGATGGGGTGTGCATGTCACCCCTCCGGGACAGGGCTCTGAGAACAGCCACATGTTGACTTGTTACTGGTTCCAAATTCCAATCTGGTGCAAGAAGATTTTTTAAAAATAACATTGTAATTTTAGAATAGTTTTAGGTTTATAGGAAAATTATTAAGTACAGGGAGTTCCTTTGTACCCCACATTCAGTCTCCTTTTAATATCTTACTTGATTACTGGGGTACGTTCATCACAGTTAATGAGCCAATGTTGATAATCTTGTTAGCCGAAGTCCATACCTCATTCAGACTTCTTTTGTTTTTACCAATTGTCTATTTTTCTAGCTTAGGATTCCTTTAGGATAATGTATTACGTGGAGTTGTCAAATTTGCAAGGTGGAATATAAGCAGGAGAAAAATGTGTGAAATCACCTGTTTCCTGTTCTTTGCTCCTACTTGGAATATTTGGTTCACTATTAAAAGAGGACTTCTAAGCTTTTTTGTTTGTTTTTTAGTGAACACACTATTACTCATTCCTGAAATAATTAGAAGCAGTCTCGAAATTTCCTCTTACAATGCATAGAGTGCTCGGCCACAGTCAAGAGAACAGGACTGGAGGGAGAAGCACAAGTTCTTCTGGTGTTTCAGATGTTGGATCAGAACTAGTCACTCGGAATGACGGGGGAGATGGAAAATAAGGGAGTTTCCATTTCTTCCACACCAGTTTGCCCCATTGCTAATGCCTTACATCATTAATATCAGAGTGAGGTTTGCACCTCTGCCTAGATCATACATCATGCAGAGCTGGACAAGAGTGAGAGGAGAGACCATGGTGGCTTCATGACCTAGGCAGGTGGAGGTGTTTTTGCAGTGAGGTCATGCGTAACTGACAAGCTCCTAGGAATCTGATGTGCCACACAGTGGGGAAACTGAGGGAGGAATATCTAAGGTTTTCCCTAAACAGATTTAAGGAGATAAAATTCCTTCTTGGATAGGGTTCCTTGAAATGCACCTTAGTGCTGAGATTGGAGCTACCATGGTAAGAGCTTAGTATCTTCTAGCTCTTGGCAAACTTATCTGACCCCAGTCACTGGAGTCTCTGAGCCTCCCTTTACTCATTTGTTAGGTGGGTGATAAGTAGGGTTAGCGTTTATAAACTATGCCCTATGAGAATTTAATACAAATTAGCTAGGAGTTGGCAGGTGGGGAACGGCAAGAACAGTGGCAGAGTTCTTTGGGTGGAGAGAAGATGGAGGTCAAAGGCCACTTTCATGGTAACATTTGTTTCTTGATACAGTGCTCTCCATAGAAAGGGAATTAAAAGACTACCCAATTTCTCATTCTAGAAGTAATTTTTTTAAAATTGTGAAATAAACTTAATGGTGGAAACAGGAAGATAAGTAACGTTTTTAAAGATTTATTTTATTTTTATCAAAAAGTCAGATATACAGAGAGGAGGAGAGATAGAGGGGAAGATCTTCCATCTACTGATTCACTCCCCAAGTGGCTGCAGAAACAAACCTTCACTGGGCAACTCATAAATTCATTGCAGTGGCATTTCTGTCCTGTGATCACCACAGTTTCCTGTGGACAAGTCTGAACAGGTGCATTTACACAGGAAAACCACAGATCCAAATGGGTGCGGATACGTGCAGTTTTCTCTTTACACTTCACACTGGGGAGTCTTTCCCTGGTTGGGAAGGTGGGGGTTAATGACCAGTCTGTGTCAGGCTGTCATCCAGTAGTGTTCACTCACTGAAGATATTTCTTATCAAAAGTCATTAAAAAAAAAAAAAAGCATACACTTTTTTTCAGTGGCAAATCTGGCCAGATAATTAGATGCAATTACTTGGTGCTTTTGCTCTTAGAAAAGATCTCTTTTCTAGCATAGTAAGAGCCTGACAGCACATAGCATCCCTCCCTTGTAGGTCACCCCCCTGAAGGTGGACAGTGACTTCATCACAGCGTGAAAGCAGCACAGGGGAAGCAGAGTCCCATGGCTGAAACTCACCCAAACCAGACCGCCCTGCTATTTTTATCCTTGGAGCTGAGCATACTGATGGAATGCAGAATTGCTTTTGTGATTAAATGTGGCCAAAAACCTAGCAAGTGTTAATCTCTGGAAATCTGTTACAAATTGGATGGCAAGCGCCTGGAAACTGCTATTTTTTAAGTCTAAAAATAATTCTTTGTCCCCTTATAATACAGCAGGAAGAAGAGAAATTTTAGTTTAATCGGTTGGGGTAGATTGATTCCTAGCAGTCAACTCCTGCTTATCACAGCGAGTATGGACCTGGAGCCCTTGTGGAGAGCAGAGGCTGTGGGGCTGGGCAGAAGTGCTGGCAAGTCTTTGCTTTGCCAGCACTTAGTTGCTCTGGCCTGGCTAGAATGAGGAATACTCAAACTTTTATTTCTAAGGAATTGATGTGATTGGAATGAGAGTACAGGAATACATAGACACAAAGAATGGAGGAATCACTGGATGGGAACTAGTTTGAACTGATGGTGGATGTATTGGCCATTTAGCTCAGCACTGGCCTCTTTCCTCTGGCTCTGTCCCTTTTGAAAGCAGGCCATTTGAAAAAAAAAAGTTATTTAATATTATCTACATAACTGAGAAGAATGCACATGCATGTGGGCCTCTGACTAGGGTAAGGAGGGTCAGGTATGGAGGAAGGTGGGTGGGACAACATTTTCTTATTTTCTTCTGTGTAGCAAGGGAAGAGAGGGAGAGGCTGCTCCTTGCTCTCAAATTATATCACACCCAGGGATAGGGGACAGTCCTGTGATGACCCCAATGGGGGGGACCCCAATGGGGGGGAGCATCCGAGGGTGTTACTTGAGTGGTTTTGATTGTTACGAGAAGTTGTTGCCTTCATTGCTTCAGGGTTGAGAAAATCTTTCCAATGTCTATTGGTTGATAAAGTTTACCTTAGTACATCTACAGACCCAGGAACATGCTGCAAAGCTTGGCCAGAATTACTTCACCTGTTCTGTTTTCCATCCTCTGTTGAGGCAGTTGACATGCCATATTGGCCTAGATGTGCAGGCTGTCATGTCCTCCATGTGCATCTGGGCATGCTCTCTGCATTCAATGTCTGTTCAGTCCTAAAAACAAGAGGAGTTTCTAATTCAGTTTCATTTGGAACAGGCTGGTGATAAAACAGTTGAGACGTTATCATTTCCAGGCCCAGGTGGGGCAACAACCATTCATTCACTGAAGCCCAGGTCCTTGCAAGCACCTTCAGACAATCATTCCATGGCTAAGCTCTGCTTTCACTCCTCAGTTCCGTTTTCCTCAAAGAACTCAGCTACGTTTTAGGTACTTTTCCTAGAGTTAAGAGGTTCAACTTGCTCATCCCTAGTGCAGTTCTTCCCCTTCCCTCCTTTACCTTCACCCAGTGTGTCTGTCTGGTCCATACTCCAGGGTCTGTTTTGTTTCTTCATCAAACTCCAGCTTTGTGCCTGTTTTGGCTTCCTAGGTTGGGACCTGAAAACTTGCTGAAATTTGCCCCTTCTTCCCTACTCAGTTCTTGGCTCTGTTTTTTCACTCCATCTTCCAGCAGGAGTGCTACTTTGATCTGATTGAATCTCTTGGGACCTAAGGATGAGGCATTCCATGAACCAGAACCTTGTTCTCTGTCGGTTCAACCTGACAGATCACACATGTAGGAAGGCACACATCTTTCCAAGATAACATGGTGGTGAAAGCTGGGACTTGATGGCTCACTTCTCTTTCTTGCATTCAATGGTCTTTTTTTTTTTTTTTTTTTTTAACTCTTACACCTAGTTAAAAAGGGCAAGTTCTTATGGAGCTATGGCCAATGAAGTCACACAAAATTATGGAATTAGAACATTATTGTTTTGGAAAGCCCAGTGAAACAATGGGTTATTTTAATCAATTATCAATGACTGTTCAAAGCACAGATAATAGGGGAGCTTCAGGGACCCCCTGTTAGGCTGCTGCTTCCACTGGTGAGCATGAGAGCTGGGACTAGGAGCAGACTGCGCTGGGTAGGGCTGTAGCACCTGTCAGCCTGCATGTGGGCTGGGTCTGCGGGAGGTCCATCTCACATGCTAGCGCATGAAAAAGCCAGAATAAGTGCAGGCCAGCCAGGCTCTGCCATAGCATTTGGTGACAAATGCCAGAACTGGATGCAAGTCATGTCAGGCTGGACCACAATACCTCCTGGCAAGCCTGGGGTGGGCCTGGTAGGGGAATTATGGGCACTCCTTTGCTAAGCTGCAACTCCTGCTGGTAAGCAAGAAAACCAGGAAAGGCGATGGGCAAGGCTGGATGACAGCATCCACCTGGTGTACCTTTGAGCCAGGTCTGGGGACAGGTCAGGTTCACTAAACTGCAGCACTTATGGATGTACATGAGTCAGATGGGATGCATAATAGGCCTGGTGTTGCTAGCATATGCGAAAACTGTGGCTGGTGGGAGTTTTCAGGGGTTGCCCCAACTAGGCTGCAGTTTCTGCTGGAGTGTGTAAGGGGGCCGAGTCTGTGGCAGACTGGGTTGGGCTAGGCCACAGCAACCATCGGTTTGTGTGAGAGACAGGGCTGGGAGCAGAACTGAACAGGCAGCTTCATCCACCAGTCTGTGCGTTGGCTGGTGCAGGTAACAGACTGAACCTGACCCTGTATTAGCTGGCATCCACAAGAGTCAAGTCTGAAGTCATCTCAGGCAAGGTTTCTTGAGGGATTCTCCAACTGGATCACTAGACTCAAACTCCAGCACAAGGAAAATTACGAGATATGTGATCCAACCTTGAAGTGCACATATTAAGACTGGGCCTCCTTAGTTGCTGATGCCTGTGCAGTGGAAAGCATAAACAGATGCACATGGAGGACACGACAGCTGGTTTATCTAGGCCAGCAGAGTGCCATGACAAAAGACGGCTAGCAGGACAGGTTGGACAATCCTCCTGGTCAAGCTTTGCATATCTGTGGATACACTAAGATGGACTTTGTCAACCAATAGACCTTGGAAAGATTTTCTTAACCCTGGTGCAATGAAACTGACATCTTAGAAATATCAAAATCACTCAAGTAACTCCCTTGGAACATTCTTCCTCACACCATGGCCCCTAAGGTATCACCAAATGACCATCCCCCATTCCCCCCTTGCTGATGTAGTTTGACAGCAAGGAGCAGCCTCTCCCCTTTCCCACCCTTGCAGATATAGGAAAAAAAGAAAAATTGGAAACATTTGTCTCACCCACCTTCCTCCATATCCTGACCCTCCTCTCCCTATCAGCAGCCCATATAGATGTGTATCCCTCTCCACTATGTAAATATTGAAATTAAAAAAAGAATTTAAAGCACTAGGTACATTTTTCATAGGATATTTTATGATGGATGGATCAAGTGTGGCCTTGTCCATGAAAGTCCCTCAGAAGTTATTCCTCACCTGGACATGAACCCTCAGGTTTCTTCCTGCCCCCTCCCTGGGCCGTTATCCAGTCTCCAAGTCTGCAGAGCACACTATTAGGTAGTCTGAGGGTTTTTCCAGCACCATTAGTGCCTGGATCACCCAGCCCAAGTTGCCCTGGCTGCAGCCACACAGCCGGGTGCGTAAAGCACTCAAGCCACAAGCTAGATTTACTTGAGATCCACCCATAGCATAGCACTGGTAGGTTGAGCCAAAATCTTGAGTGTGAAGCCTGGATCCATTTGGGATCTGCCCACAGCATTGTGGCCATGGATGGAGAAATTTCCTGAGCCTCAAGTCAGGACTAGCTCAAGATCCGCCCACCACATGGCACCAGTGGACAAAGCTGGAATCCCAAGCCTCAAGCCTGACCCAGCCTGAAATCCCCTGACTGCAGTCACGCAACCAGGAAAGGAAAGCACTCAAGCCACCAGCCCAGACTTGAGATCCACACACCAAGCTACTCTGTTTCTGATTCAGCTCCCTGCTGATGGCCTGGGAAGGCAGCAGAGGAGGGCTCACAGCATTGCACCCTCATGACCACACGGGAAGACCTTGAAGAAGCTCTTGGCTCCCAGGTTCAAACTGGTCCAATTCTGGTCATGGCAGCCATTTGGAGAGTCAACCAACACATGTCAGATCTCTCTCTTTCTCCTCTCTGTAATTCTGACTTCCAAGTAAAATGGATAAATTTTAAAGAATTAAGAGTCCAGTCTGCATGCTCAAGCTTGAGTTTTTAGGGATGTTGTGTGGAAATCTCCCCTCACATTTTTCTGGAATATTCTGGTGTGGGGATTTCTATGTGTGGAATACACCCTGAAACTTCAAAATAGTTCTTTTGGTGAAGGGTAGATGGAATTCCCCTAAGCCTCCCCCAGGGAGAGCACTGGGACCTACCCAACTAGGAACTCAGCAATGATAAGGTATTGTTTACATATAAGATATGTAAATGCTGGCTTACCTCCAACGCTTGCTTCCTTGTTTCGTCACAAAGAAAGTCCCATTTTTCTTCTGCCCCTGTACACACATACATTCATAATTATCTATCTACCTTAACCTTCTGCCGCTCAAGCAAACGTAACCCACAATTTTAGGGGAGAAACATGGCTGATGGTTCATCTTCCATATTTTCTTCAGAGTTGATCTATGGGTATAGAGCTGCTTAAAAAAATTCTTCTTTTGCTGTAAGTATTTGGAGGTAGCCTGGGGATGAAAATTGCCTTGCACACTCCAGAAGATTGGTTATATCATGCAGAGGGATTGGTTGCAAGCCCTGACTCAGGATCAACTGGAGCCTGACGTGTGTACTCTTAGAGAAAGTCAAATGAGATCATTAAAGACATGAACCAAAGGGAAGCAATAAGTACAGAAGCCATAGGGTTAAGGAGGAGTTAGCGAAGACCCCCCTTCACCAGAGGCTTGGTCAAATATTATCCTTTGTTTTCTAAATTTCATGCCTAGAATAAAAAAACTTTATCCAAAGGGTGAAGAAAACATTGTTTCTTCAGAGAAAGAACAAAGTGCAGAAGTCATCTGTCAACAGCAAAACTACGAGTCCAGTGAGACTTGGTTATCTCATTCTTAAATCTTCACAAAACACAAGAAAAATTCTTGCAGAGATTTTCCATAGCTACTTCCATACGCCCACATGCATTCACCTTAAACAGTATGACAATGTTATACGTTTCTTTATGTACACACACGTTGATATAATTTACTAGCATATGTTCATATACACACATACCTCATAGGCATGAATAGATCATGATCCTATAGAATTCTCTCCCCTGGGCAACTTTCCCCACAGAAAAACACTGGCTATTCGACAATCCCAATGGATGCACAGGAGACCTGCTAAGTCAAGATTTGACCTCTTTAAGCACCAATTGGAGTTTTTGCATTTCTGGAAAGTATTCTTTCTTAAATGTGCTCTCCCCTTCTCTTCTGAAGACAGCCATTAGATCTCGTGTTCCCTGGCACTTTGTTGCCCACACTCTGGACACTGGTAATGCCAGGATGTAGTTGGTACATGCCCCTGGGGCCAATTCGAGGAATACACAGTATCAGCTCTTTTCCAACCTGTGCCATGTGTTCAGCCTGCAACACTTTTTGAATTCTTATTTCTGCATTATATAAGTTTTTCTTTCAATTTCTGTGTTTTACCTGGCATCTCTAGTAGCCACTCGGTCATTCCTCTCCATCGCTGCTTCCAATTTGCCTTACAACTGGAGAATGAAGCTTGTAGGTTTGCGAGCAAAGCATGAGAGCGAAGAGGTCTTCCTGAGCAGCTTCCTGTGTGAGCTTTGGCACGTCACGTGACGGCTGCACTTTGTGAACATGACTTTGCTGCTAAGAGGTATTTTTGATTGTCTTTCAGATGATTAGCTGTGCTTCACAGGAGTGAAAGATACTGGCAAAAAAATAATAATAATGATGGTTTAGAAACACAAGATAAAAAATGTGTCTGTGGAGTGGACTTGAGTCAGACTCTTCCAGTAACTCCTGTTAGGGAGACATGACTCAGTCCCACTGAAAAGTGGATACTGCTCTTCTTAAGTTCGCAATGCACCTCTGTACTCTCACAGGAACCCAAACTCAGATTTAAAGTAACCTTTTTAAAGCAAGAACAGATTGGATAATTTTTTTAGCTCTTGTTTGAATAAATTCACTGATCAATCCAGAGCCCTATCAAAATTAATTTATGAAGGAAATTCTACAGGCCACAAGAGAATGGAGCAACATATTCCAGATTCTAAAAGCAAAAAATTGTCTGCCCAGAATAACGTACCTGGCAAAGCTTTCCATTGTCTTTGAAAATGAAATAAAATTCTTTCACAATAAAAAAAAGTTAGAAGATTATGCCTCCTCCAAACCTGCCCTACAAATGATACTTGAAGATGTTTTCTTTTTTTAAAGATTTATTTTTATTATTTTCTTATTGGAAAGGCGGATATACAGAGAGGAGAGACAGAGAGGAAGATCTTCCATCTGATGATTCACTCCCCAAGTGAGTGCAACGGGCCGATACTATGCCGATCCGAAGCCAGGAGCCTCTTCCGGGTCTCCCACGCGGGTGCAGGGTCCCAAAGCTTTGGGCCGTCCTCAACTGCTTTCCTGGGCCACAGGCAGGGAGCTGGAAGGGAAGCGGGGCTGCCGGGATTAGAACTGGCGCCCATATGGGATCCCAGGCGTGCAAGGCAAGGACCTTAACCACTTGCGCCACCGCGCTGGGCCCGAAGATGTTCTCTTGACAGAGAAAAGGAATAGTGTCCACCAAAACCAAAGGCAAATGTGAAGAACATCCCAGTAAAATAACAGAAGACTAATCGATGAACAATCCATTACTAAAATGACAGGACCAAATTACCACTTATTTGTATTAATCCTGAATGTAAATGGATTAAACTCATCAATCAAATGTCATAGATTAGTAGACTGGATTAAAAATGCAAAACCATCTATTTGTTGCCTACAGAAGATACATCTCACCAACAAAGATATGTGGAATCTATATCTCATGGATTTTGATGGTTTTGTTTTCAGTTTCATCTCTTTAAAACATGTTTTTTCTCATTAAATTCTTCAATGACTCATAGATCACACAGTAGTGTCATATTCTTTAAGAAGGTTCTTGATTTCCTTTTTCACTTCTTCAGTGACACATTCAGTACAACGTTATTTAACTTCATGGCATTGTAAGTTTCTATTTTTTCTTCCTGTTGTTGATTTTGTTTTATGGCTTTTCATTTAAGGGGATGTATATTAACTGTGTAGTGGATACTATCATATCCAGTTGCATGTTGTTTAACTTCATAGCATCATAAATTTCTGTTTTTCTTCCTGTTGTAGGTTCTTCTTTGTGGCTTTTCACTTGGATGGGATTTATAGTGACTGTGTAGTGGAGACCTACATGTTCAGATGTGAGGATAAGGTGCAGTGTGCATCTCTACTTCTTGATAGAGGATGGACTTCCAGTGAAAATATTAACTATATCTTGACAATAGGATGCTGAACTCTCTGCCATTGTCCATGCCTGCAATGATGGACTTTCGATTGTTTATGAGGAACTATACTGTTGCAATGATACGGGAGAACTCAGTGGTGGTGGGTGAGATTGAGGGAGGGAGTAGGGAAAATCCCAGGGTCTATGGAACTGTATCATAAAATGATAATCATATGATAATAATTAAGGAAAAAAATCTAAGATAAAAAAGAAGACATTAGGGTTTCTTCACATAGAAATGACTGGTGGTAACATGAGTATTTAATTCTCTTGAATGATGTACTCATCAGAGTTTTCTCAGCTCAGTTGAGATAATACTTGGATGTAGTTAGGGTAAGCCTGTGAGGCTGATGGTCCTGAAGTGCATTACTTCGACCTTCTGCCCTGCATGAATCTCACCCTGTCTCCTGTCACCCTCACTCTTCCCCTCTCTGTCATTGCGTGACTCAGCACAACTCAGGTCCTCTGTATAGTAATCGCATATCCTCAGCCACACCTTCTTACAATTAGAGCTTTGGAATCCTCAAGCCCACCCAGATTAGATCAATAGCAGGTGTTTGTAAATAATCAGAATTCATCAAATCTCCCCCACAATACACTGGTGATTCTATGACATCAGTGCTTTTCTCAATTAAAATGGGCTTACCTTGCTTCTTGCAAAGAGAAGTGCAGCGTATGTGATTTTACTGTATACACAGAGAATGGATGTGTGGCTTAAGGGCACCAGCGACATAATCCCTGGGCTTTTCTGTGCCCAGGAACTCAAATGCACACAGGATCATGAGGTCATTCATTATTGCAGGAACTAAGCATTTCCATTTAAAATGAAACACGCATTAGCACATCCTCACAGCACCTCCTCCTCTCAGCAGGACTAGAAAACACAGGCGGAAAGTGAACTGACTTGATGAATCTCAAATCCCTTTAAGTGATGCTGAACAACCTAACCATTGCTACATTTGAGTCCAAAAAATGTGTAATTGCCACTATTCAGAAATTCTTTCTCTTAAAACGATAAATATCTTAATGGTAACAAGCTGTAACCTGATTTGCCTCTGGTGCATTCTGCCTTTTTGATAAATGATCATTGGGGTGAATTATGGGAATATCAAAACAATGAAGTTTTCTGTTGGAAATCAATAATATACACATTATCTCATTTCAGGGTTATCAGGCTTCCACTTACATCTTCATATAATGATTAAAACTGAGTGGACTCTTAAGATCTATGGAGTGGTTTGAATGGGACTGTGTTGCCTTATTCAGATATCTTGAGATCAAGATAAAAATTTGAGACCAGGGAGTCCATTGCCCATATTTAAGCCGTTCAGCATGGAAGTCTACAGCTTATTGTTGGTGGTCCATTTTATGACACCCTTTCCATAATAAGAGTTGATCAACCTGCACTGTCATGGGCCAACTTCAAGTAGAAAAAAAAAGACAAGACAATAAAGCATAGAGGCTAACTGTACAACCCTGTCACTTTGGTAAGTCTGCATTGAGACCTTCATCACTATGAGACAGCTGGTGACCTTTGGCATGTTCACTTCTTTGTGCCTTACTTGCTTCCTCTGTAACATGCAAATGGCAAGCATGTACATGAGTTTGAATGCAGAAAAGCATGCCAGGTATTTCAAGTGGAAGTAGTTTGAGCACTACTTCCAGGAAAGGATGTGTAGAACATGCCTGGAAGAGCTGGTGTACTGACAGCCAACAGAGCCACCAAAGACCGTACACATCAAAGAGATTTTCCCTCAATTCCACAGGTCTCATAGCTGCTGGGGCTGCAATGGCCTCTGCCTCCTCACCCCTCAAAGGCTGGCGAGCAGCGTTGGAATGTGGAATTTTCCAGTGAAAGCACTCAACATCCATCTGACCTGATGAGGCACTTCTAAAATCTGTGGAAAACGAAATTTTATAAGCTTGCACATTCTCTGTGTACATTTTAAAGACCACTTATATGTTCTAGCACCCATGATGGAAAGCAAATAGGCTTTACTACTATTTTTCAACTTTTGAGCCATTGCCTCTTACTGGTGAAGCTTTCTTGTACCTAGCAACCTAGATTTGAGGGAACCTACTTTTTAGATTTCCAAGACCATCAACATAGACCATTCATAGGAATGAGTACAAATGAATACCAAGTATCAATGAACAATGTGCAGTGTGTGATACCTACCTGCCACACTGACCCATTGTTAGAGCCATATGAGGGGATATGGGTAAACCATGGGAAACGCATAAATGCTCCCCATTTATGTGGTGATTTTAACTTTTATTATGCTATCGAAATGTAGGCATCCCCTGAACATTAAATGCCTTTACTCACATAGCTCCTCCCTGGAAGAAGGATATCTCTCTCTCTCTCTCTCTCTCTCTCTCTCTCCCAATATTAATTCCTAGACATTCTAGTATCACCTTTCAGGCCCTGCCATAAAGTCATCTCATTCTCTCCAAGGTCCCTACCTCTTTCAAGCCTTTCCCAATTGCTAGTTTTATTCTATCTTTATCCCTGCTTTTCTTTCATCAGTAGAGCCCAAATTACTAGCAACCTATCAATGAAAAACAATCCTTTCTCCACAGACATAGTGGGACTAATCTTCAAACACTCCCAGAGCGAGGAGAACATTTCCCTTTCTTCTATCTAATAAAGAAAGTGGGGAGGGCAGAAAACAGTCATCTATCCAGTGTTAGCAGGCTCAGTGTAGCAGTGTAGCAGTGTAGCAGGCTCAGTGGCAGCTCCCTGCAAGGAATTCGAATCAAGGGTCAAGTGGAGAAGTCTTGCTCAGGTTCCTAAATCAAAATGTGGACTATGGTTCCTCTTGGCCCCAGATTTAAAAACCCCAAGATTATGAAGCATTTGGGTGAAACCACTCATGTCCAGATGGTGAATAGAGCATCTGTGAGTCTCTGCCGTCTTCCAGAAAGTTCTATTGAAAAGGAAAGAGTAAAAGGAAGAGAAAGTCTTGCTCCAGCCTCAATACAGAGTCCCCAGATCCAAATGCTGACACTTAGTTGCCAGTGCAATGGTGTTGAGAGGTGGGGCTTCCTACCGCAAAGCCCTCACATACAAGGAGTCGTGACTCTTGGGAAACAGATGTGCAGGAGCTGGGCATCCTTTTATTTCCTTCTGCCCTGTAAATGCACAGGGAGCACCAGCTTAGAGGAACAGACAGCAGACATGGAGTCTATGGGTGCCTTGAACTTGCACTTCTTCACCATCAGAACTGTGAGGAAGCTCTAGTGGCTGTGAATTTCCCAGCCTGTGACAGTTTGTGATAGCAGCCTGAGCTGACAAAGAGCCACGAGCAGATTAGATGTTGGAGGATTTTCTTGGGAATGGGTGCATCAGAGGAGAAGGAAAGAAGTTGGAATGCAGCCTGAAAGGTCACTTGGTGTGTAAGGACAAGGTGTCCACATCAGGGCTATCAGGCAGACACCGTTCTTCCTACTTGTGGTCATCTGCCCCCACCTGCAGGCAGTGATAAGAAACAGAATGGGGATTCTGCCTGGAAGGGTCCCTTGCTAGGGGCAGAGCAGGTCCCCAGGGGACTTCAGGCCTCCACAGCCAAGAGGAAAGGCAAGGCAATTCTGCAGAGGGAGACACAAAGGAACCGCCACCTTCCTCCATGGACACACACTCACACAGTGCAAGGCGAAATGGGCTTTGACAGTTGTCAATGTTCTCCACTCAGGCACCCTAAATGGAGGCCATATGTTGACACAACCTCCACTTTCATGGAACCCAGAGTCAGCCTGGCCACTCCGCTGAGAAGCCGGAGAGGAGACAAAGCAAGGATGCCCAACCTACGCTCATGGCCTTCACCCACAGACATTTGAGAAAAACAATAGCATGTGTTAAGGGAAAATATTCACTTTCTTTAGAAGATCATTTTCTTTTGGAAAAAACATAGATCTTATTGAACACAGATGAAGTATTTGAAAAGTCAAATTCAAATACTCTTAACGTCGGTAGAATCTTGCATCTGTAAAACAAGAACATCCTGTAATGAAACACAAGTAACGATAGAACAACTATTAATCCTATCAATTAAGAATGTTATTACTGAAATAACGCGTTAGAAGATTGGGAAGGACACCACCTGAAATACAATCAACGTGCAAAGAAATGTAAAATATGAGTGATAACCCAGAAAACATGTTAATGAAGGACTGTCAACATTCTACTGAGAGGTTAAGAAAATGAAGATGGAAAAAAAATCAGAGAGAAGTAAGTATTTTCAAAGAAATGCCAAGAAAATTTTCAAGAGATCTAGCTTTTTGAGAATCCCATGCCAGCAAAAAACAAACAAACAAACAAAAACCCCAAAAAACAAAAACCCAAAACCAAACAAACAAACAAAAAACAAACGCTGCCATCTTAGATGAAAAAGTTAGGGAGGAAGAAATGGAAGAAGGCTGTCAGACTTCCTACAAGACAGACGAGGAATAGGCAGATAGTATGCAGTTAGAAGTACTGCTGCACTGTACAGAAAAGGAAAGGTTATAAATGCAAGTGCAGGTGAAACGACTGTCACTGTGTCAGGTGATTGTCCACACTCCTTCAAGCCTGCTTCTTCCTCTGCCTCCTCTCCAGCTTCTTAAACCAGACTGAATTTAGCAACATCCACAGGGATGAAATGCAACTCCATCACCTTCATACTTTAAAGTGAGAAGGGCAAGAAAAATTATCTGCTACT